TGACATTGCTCCTCCTTTAGTCGCATCAAGTCGTGCGGCTGACAAAGGGAAGAGTGCAGCTTTCCCGACGTCTTCTTCAATGTCGGTGTCGGGACATACTTCTGATTCACTTCCTCGGAAGTTGGAGTTACCTATTTTTGATGGGGAAAATCCAGACGGCTGGCTTTTTCGCGCGGAGCGCTATTTTGAGATTAATGGCTTGCTTCCGGCGGAGCGTCTGCGTGCGGCCTGGTCTGTTTAGAGGGTGATGCATTGGCGTGGTATTACTGGGAAGATGGTCGGCGACCTTTTCGTAGTTGGGCAAAATTCAAGGAGCTCCTCCTTGAACGTTTTCGTTCGACTCAGGAGGAAAATTTGCAGGAGCAGCTTCTATCATTACATCAATCCACTACTGTTAAGGAATATCGTCGCCAATTCGAGGTGCTCTCCGCTCCCTTAYGTGACCTGCCAGAATCAGTCCTTGAAGCAGCCTTTGTTAATGGGTTGCGCCCAGATATCCAGGCCGAACTCCGACAGATGGAACCCGTTGGGTTGATCAGGAAAATGGCTACGGCCCAGAAAATTGAGAAGAATCAGGCCTTATGGGCTTATCAATCAGGTTTATTTCCTCGTGGGCCCACAACGCCCCCCTCTGGAACTCACTTTAACTCACGGGTTTCGCAAGTGACTACTTTTGYCGTCACCTGACCTGCACGTGCTGCGATTCCTCCTTCATCAGTCCTTATTATTAAGGCCCCACCTCCTGCTTTCAAAAAGATGATTGATAAAGAGATGCAGCAGAAACGTACGAAGGGTCTATGCTTCCATTGCGACGAGAAATACAGTCTGGGACATCGTTGTGCTCAAAAATCACTTTAGGTTTTATGGGTTCAAGATGATGTGGAGGTTGAAATTGCTCCGGCTCCAGAATCAGCTGCGCTTTGTGTTTCGTCTCTTGTTGGATTGTGTGCGGCCAATTCCCTTAAGGTACGTGGACGCATTTTGTCACGTGAGGTGGTCATATTAGTGGAAAAATTGAAATTACCCCGCACTCCTACACACGAGTTTGGAGTTCAGATGGGGAATGGCGATGAGGTGAGAACTTCTGGAGTTTGCCGTCAGGTTTGCCTCAACTTACCCGAATTGGATGTCATTGCTGATTTCTTTCCTTTAAAGTTGGACTCTACAGATGCCATTCTTGGTTTTCCTTGGTTAGCATCCCTCGGGGACTCAGTGATGAATTGGGGCAACATGTCTATGAAGCTCAATTTGGGAGGTGTCCGTGTGAAATTGCAGGGC